CATGGGGGAATTTCTCTTGAAGGCTCTTATAGTGGGCATGAACTATCTTGCTTGCTCGATTGCTGGTTGTATTAAACGGGACAACAAAGGGTGCTATGCCTTCATTATGATGAATATTTAGTCCTATAGGTCTTGCTGTATTCAATGTCTCAATCCAATGGGCTTCCCTAGATTGACGGAATTTGGTAGTTTCATCTTCGGGCAAGTCAATTTCTATACGCTCAATTGGGATTAGGGTGAGATCGTCTATTGAATGGTCGTCGAGGTTGAAATGATTAGAAACAGGCTTGTCTTTCTTTAATTTGATGTCTGACCTATGAGCATTAAAGCGAGTTCGTAAATTATTCTTAGTTTCTCCTACATATTGTTTGGGGCATTTCTTGCATGAAATTAAATATATTACATTCGAATGTTCACATGTTAGATGTTCCTGGATCGGGTACCTATTATTCGTAGAGTTGCTTACAAAATAATGAGTTTCTGATATAAAGGGACATGTTTTGCATCTACTGGACAAACATGGAGCACTTCTTAAACCTGGAGGTACTTCGGCATAAAGTCTGTTTTTAGCTGCTATCTGTGCCAAGGTGGAATTTTTTATGTTTCGTAAAAATCGTTAAGAGTACCCACGCTCTTTCAGTTTTGAGAAAACAATCGTACAGGCTTGGTTGAAATCAGAAGATCTTGTACAAATTCGATGAAATCGTAAAACTTGTGACTTAATTATACCAGAAAAGGTATGTTTTGGATGAGTATCAGTTTCTTTGAAATACACTTTAATATCCAGTTGATTGGTTTCTGCTATGGAATCTCCCTTAAAGACTGTGGTATCGAGAAAGTCTATGCTTTTGTCACTCACGTTTGCGGTTAGTTTGATAGAAGGATGGTGGTTGTTGAGAATGTCAAAGAATTCCCAAAAGTGTTCGATAGAATAAGTCCAAACCATAAAAATGTCATCCAAAAAGCGTCCGTAAAAAAGTGGGTCAAATGGACAGAGGAGCAACACCTCACGTTCCCACTCTGCCATGAAAAGGCTTGCGTACGAAGGGGCGAATCGTTTGCCCATTGCTGTCCCTGAAGTTTGTAAATATGTTTTACCATTAAATGTGAAATCGTTTCGACTTAGACAAATCTCTAAAAGCTGTAGAATTGCATCGTCGGGTCTGTTTGGATCTGGGTTTCTATTAAAAGCTTTACGAACTGCCGTTAGACCAGTAGTGTTATCGATATTGGTATACATAGAAGAAACGTCGATAGAAATTAAAATAGCATTAGAGGGAACTCGAAGATTTTTTTTATTTTATTGACAAAATCGGTTGTGTCTTTAAGGTAGGCGCGATGTTGACATGCTAGAGGTAGTAAGAAATGATCAATGTATTCTGACACTGCATATGAATCACTACCACAATCAGATATAATCGGGCGGCCTTTAGGGATTTTATTCGAGATAAACCACTCTTTGGTTGGATTCTTATGGATTTTAGGCAAAGTGTACAAATGTCTCTCGCGACAATCAGGTTTAGCAGACAGATAGTCATATTGTTTCTGTTTGAGATAACTAGTTTTGACTAAATCGGCAAGAATATTGTTAATCATGTTAGCAGTTTCTTTGAAAATTGGTTTCGGTAAAATGGCATAATGTTTAGGATTATTCAGTTGATTCTCTGCTTCTGAAACGTAATCCTCCCTATTCAGAATGACACAACATGAACCTTTGTCACTCTTTTTAATAACAATGCTATCGTCTTTCTTAAGTAAGTTTAACGCTTCACGTTCTACTCGTGTGAGATTAGGCTTTTCGTGTGTTATGGAAAGGTTCACTGTTTGGCTATTCATACTCGCAAATGCTTTCAATATTTCAGGATGGATAATGGTAGTAGGTTTGGGATCATGGTCGTATGATTCCAGGATTTCAGTGTCTGAACTGGTTTTGGTAATTCGATTCAGGTTAGATGATCCAATTATTAAGGTAGATTTCTTAAGAGCAGGTAGCTTCCATAATGATTTGTCCTTGGTTTGGTGATAATACGATTTGGTAGCGGATATAATGGTCGTCGACGGTGTGATTGGTACTGGTTTGGTAGTTGTTAGAATTGTAGCATTGGGAACGGACTGGGATCTGGTTCGAATGGGGGAAGGTCTGGATACACGTCTCGACTTGGATGGAGACTGAGGGGTGGTTTGCTGGTCCAAAAACGCACAGAAGGAAGAAAGGTTGGCGGATCACCTGGTGAAGATTCAGAGCGTTTACCTATGACTAGGAGTAGGTGAACTTCGGGCTCGTTTAGGGGTTTGGTTCGGCAGCGTGGTGGCTCTAGATGGTGCAGGTGTAGTGTCCATTTCAGTTGGTTTGTTTCGTTGATTGTTTGGTAGAATTTGGTGATTACAGCTTGAGTGAGACGTTTCCCATAGGAGCGACGGGCCCATGACAGGGTATGAGAAACGATGCGGTCGACGGCAGGTGATGATAAAGACTTGGTACGAATGGTGGTCAGCTTCTCTTGAAGTGTGGTTTGGTAATGGTCGATCAGGCCCTGCGTAACCTTAGAGAGCCATGTCCGATTGAGGGATCTAATATTCGCGTCAACAGCTGATGTTTTCATTGCTGGACGGATAAAACTATCCAACTCAGAGACTTTGCGTTTGAAGGTAAACGCTGGTTGGCCTTGCTGTTGAAGGGTAAGGATTGCCAAATGATGGAGGCACTGCAAAACTTGGAAGAACACCTTCCCAAAGGGTTCTTCCTCCTTATGAGTGGGGACTGGTTGGCGTCGGTGGGCTGGTATTCGTTTCTGTTGTTGGTCAGGTCGATGGTTACCTCTTGATTGGTAGCCTGTGTTGTAGGTAGGTTGGCGATGGGGTGGGATATAGCTGGATGGGTTGGTTGGTGGTCGGCGATTAGTAGGTGGTAGAGGTCGATGGAAGACAGGGCCGTTGTAGGGTACGTGATATTGGTTTGGTTGACGATTAGTGTTTCTATGTCTGGCTTCTTGCCAGTGGTTGTTGTAGTTGGGGAGCATACTGATAATAACTTGAGTTTAGAAGGGGAATGTACTGCGGATTAACAGGAGGAAACTGTATCAGATTTTGCAAATAAGTCAAACTAAGTTTGGGGATATATAAAGTAAGATGAAAGTTATGATGAAAATGCAAAAATATATATTTAGGTGATAAATAACGCTACCAATGATGTGAAAAATTATAACAAGTAAAACAAAAACTTACGCAATTGACACTCTCTAACCCTGAATCAATGAATCTGTCAATCATTATCTATATCACTCAGAGGGTGTCACTATTCCACCCAAAGGCTTATTCCAATGGCTGCCAATACAAACTCTCTAGTAAGGCGTGCATCGCCGTATATAAAGGGTCTAGGTCACATGACATATTCCTAGCGCCACCTATAGTAATAGGGCAAACATGACTAGAAAATCGCGACTATACGAAACTTATACCAAACTTAGAAAAATGCATAAAATGTATCATGACTGCAATATTAAAAATGAAAAAGGCTTACGATGCGTAGACGATGGAAACGAATAACAATACAAAAAGGACGGATTGGATTTGGCATGTGAACTGCTGGTTATTACATGATTTTTGATATAAGAGAAATGCGAAATAAAAGATTAGAAAACAAAAAAGGGGATGGTTTTAAAATTATTGGATAAAAAATGTCAATGATAATTGCTCAAACTCCTAAAACTTATTTCGGTTCTGATATTCAAAAATCATTAGGTTCTCTTCCTGGATTTCCATGGGCAAAATATCCTGGAGAAAAACATCTTCTCGGTCATAATTACACTGGTCTAGGTACAAGGTTAGATCTGCGATTAGACGAAAACGATAAACCAAAACCAGGTGAAGAACCCGTTAATAGAGTTGATGCCGCTGCACTTAAACACGATATATTATACAGAAATAAAGACATAACATCCAGACACGAAGCAGACAAACAAATGATAATCGAGCTTGAAAATATTCCAAATCCAACTTTCAAAGAGAGAATGCAAAGAGCATTAATCATTAAACTCTTAAAAGCAAAGATGAAATAGGGCATGGGATTAGCGGATGAAATTCATAAAGAATTTAGAAAAACTAAAAACTTTTTAAAAGTTAAAGTGTTTGAAAAAGATGAAATATGGTCAGCCGATTTAATTAATGTGCCAGTCGAAAGAGGATATAAATATTGTATAACAGTTATAGATTTGTATACGAGATATGCATGGGTTATTCCTTTGAAAAACAAAACAGGATTATCAGTCAAACACGCATTTGAAACGATTATGAAACAATCTAACCGACATCCAGAAAAACTGTGGGTAGATAAAGGAAGTGAATTTTATAACAAAAATATGAAATCTCTGGGATTTGAAATTTACAGCACGCATAATGAAGGTAAAGCTGTAGTTATTGAGAGATATAATAGAACTCTACAAAATAAATTATTCAAAAAGTTCACGGAATTGAAATCTCAAAAATGGCTTAAAATATTACCAGAGGTTGTAGATGAATACAATAACAAAATTCATTCATCTATAGGTGTCACACCAACACAAGCCACAACTAATCCAAATATTATAAAGTCAATTAACGCACACTACGAAAATGAAATAAAGAATTTAAATATCAAACCCAAATTTAAAGTCGGAGATCGAGTTCGTATTTTCAAATATAAAAGTAAATTCGAAAAAGGACAAACGAAATATTCATCGTTGATTAAGTAAACACCACATCACCTCCAACATATGACTTAATCGATCAAGAAAAGAACAAATCATAGGTAGTTTTTATCAAAACAAACTTCAAAAAACTGACTTTTAAAAATGAATGAATTTCTCGAAAACAAAGAGAATTCGGATGATGAAGAATTTGATAGAAGATTAAGAAATTAAGATGTAGACGCTTTCTTAAAATTAAATTTTTTAAATTGAAATGCAAATTTATGTTCAAAATATTATTCAATGTGATTTATCAGAATGTTATACAATTTTTTTCAAACACAAACTGGAACTGATACAACCACAAACTTTCAACTTATGAGATGGGCGAATGAAATGATCTCAAATATAAGAAAGGTAAATTTTATGCTTTAACAAATATACATACTTCCGATCAAAAAGGAGTTCATCATTCTGCTTTGTACAAAGACTCTTCAAATAACTTATATTTCTTCGATTCTTTTGGATTAGAATTCACTGAAAAGATAGTGCAATTGACTAATCAACCAATCAAATTATTAACATTTCAAATTCAATTACCGGGACAAAAGTTTTGTGGACAGCTTTCACTTTGGGTTTTATATCAGTTGAGTTTAGGAAAACAGTTTGTGAAGAAATTGTAATAAACTTATCTTAATAAAAATGGCGAACGAGTTTGGATTAGGTTCTTTATCTTTAGAAACTAAAAAACCTAACATTACAGCATGGATAAATAAAGCGAAACCTTACTTTGTGGATCTAATCGGAGACACTCTTCAAGGTGATTTAGATATGAACAATTTCAAAGTAACTAATTTAAAATCTCCGGAAAATTATACTGACGCTGTTCACAAGAGATACTTACGGGATCAAATAAATTCAATTGAAGTAAATAAAAACCATTAAGAAGATAAAATAAGTAATGTTAAAAGATTCTTCAAACGTGAACTAAATAATAATTTTTTTTAATGAAACTAACCTACAACAAGAGGTATCAGGTTTAATAAGTTTTATTTAAAAACAATTGGTCAACGTAGTGAACACAACTGAGTTACAAAATTTGATTTCATTAATATCTAAATTAGATGATAAGATTGCAAAACAAAAATTAGACATTCAACAATTAATAGATAACATTCCAGATGAAAATGAAGATACGTTTCAACAGGAATTAAATGCCCTAGAAACTAAACTTAACAGTGAATTACAAAAAGAGCTAACAAATATTAAACAAAAAATACAAAACATAAATGATAGTGAAATCAAAACCTATATTCAACAACAAATACAAAACATTGATGATAGCGAAATTAAAACCTATATTCAACAACAAATACAAAATATTGATGATAGTGTTATTCAACAACAGATAACCACTATTAATAACGTAGTTTTAAAACAGGACAAAAATATAGTCGCATTAGAAAAGTATCTCAAGAAAGAAACTAAATCATATTATTTCAATCTTCCATTTGTAAATTTGATTTCGGGGAAGGGAGGGTTTGATTCTAAATGTACAGGCCTAGGGTGGAGCAGACACTTTATTTAGAAATTAGGATTAAGGGTCTTGATATTGGGTTTTCTTCTGTTCTTATTCTGATCTGAAATTAGAAAAAATAACTATAAGAAGTATAGTATCTGTTATGTACTCAGTTTACTATGAACAATATTGTCATTTAAGTTCTTATTTTTTGAATATGCAACTATCATTTTCTGCTTATAGACACGGGGGAATTTCTCTAAAAGGCTCTTATAGTGGGCATAAACTATCTTGCTTGCTCGATTGCTGGTTGTATTAAACGGGACAACAAAGGGTGCTATGCCTACATTATGATGAATATTTAGTCCTATAGGTCTTGCTGTATTCAATGTCTCAATCCAATGGGCTTCCCTAGATTGACGGAATTTGGTAGTTTCATCTTCGGGCAAGTCAATTTCTATACGCTCAATTGGGATTAAGGTGAGATCGTCTATTGAATGGTCGTCGAGGTTGAAATGATTAGAAACAGGCTTGTCTTTCTTTAATTTGATGTCTGACCTATGAGCATTAGAGCGAGTTCGTAAATTATTCTTAGTTTCTCCTACATATTGTTCGGGGCATTTCTTGCATGAAATTAAATATATTACATTCGAATGTTCACATGTTAGATGTTCTTGGATCGGGTACCTTTTATTCGTAGAGTTGCTTACAAAATAATGAGTTTCTGATATAAAGGGACATGTTTTGCATCTACTGGACAAACATGGAGCACTTCTTAAACCTGGGGTTACTTCGGCATAAAGTCTGTTTTTAGCTGCTATCTGTGCTAAGGTGGAATTTTTTATGTTTCGTAAAAATCGTTTAGAGTATCCACGCTCTTTCAGTTTTGAGAAAACAACCGCACAGGCTTGGTTGAAATCAGAAGATCTTGTACGAATTCGATGAAATCGTAAAACTTGTAACTTAATTATACCAGAAAAAGTATGTTTTGGGTGAAAGAAGCTCTTGTGCAAGAGTTGATGAGTATCAGTTTCTTTGAAATACACTTTAATATCCAGTTTATTTGTTTCTGCTATGGAATCTCCCTTAAAGACTGTGGTATCGAGAAAGTCTATGCTTTTATGTCTTACCATTAACTGTGAAATCGTTTCGACTAAGACAAATCTCTAAAAGCTGTAGAATCGCATCGTCGGGTCTGTTTGGATCTGGGTTTCTATTAAAAGATTTACGAACTGCCGTTAGACCAGTAGTGTTATCGATATTGGTATACGTAGAAGAAACGTCGATAGAAATTAAAATAGCATTAGAGGGAACTCAAGATTTTTTATTTTATTGACAAAATTTTATTCGAGATAAACCACTCCTTGGTTGGATTCTTATGGATTTTAGGCAAAGTGTACAAATGTCTCTCGCGACAATCAGGTTTGGCAGACAGATAGTCAACTAGTTTTGACTAAATCGGCAAGAATATTGTTAATCATGTTAGCAGTTTCTTTGAAAATTGGTTTCGGTAAAATGGCATAATGTGTAGGATTATTCAGTTGATTCTCTGCTTCTGAAACGTAATCCTCCCTATTCAGAATGACACAACATGAACCTTTGTCACTCTTTTTAATAAAAATGCTATCGTCTTTCTTAAGTAAGTTTAACGCTTCACGTTCCACTCGTGTGAGATTAGGCTTTTCGTGTGTTATGAAAAGGTTCACTGTTTGGCTATTCATACTCGCAAATGCTTTCAATATTTCAGGATGGATCGTGGCCTGAGGGGGTGTCCACGTGGATTTATGAATAAACATTGTTCTAGCACCACGTGGGGGGTGGTTTCGAAAAAAATATGTGCAGCTAAGATTTCGTTGAAATCGTTCAATGGATGGTCGGAGATATTTCAAGTTAGCCATCTTTGGTGTGGGAATAAATTAAAGTCCACGGTCTAAGATTGAATGCTGAAGGGGTGTGAGAATTTTGCGGCTCAAGTTAACTACAGTTTGGCCTAGCAGTGGCCTCTCAGTATTTTTATCCCCAGTAATTAGTTTAAAGACTTACTCGATGCTTGAAGCTGGTGTATCCAAAACAAATAAATGCTGTTTCTGGAGACCTATGAATATTATCAACTGGTTCTAATTCTTCTTCGTAGGGTGGTAAGATTGTTGCGCTGTTGATACTGGACTCCATCATTATGTTGTTGAGAGTGCTGAGGTTCTGTTGTGCTTTCTTCGAGATTTTATTTGAAATGGGTATACATGTGAAGAGGATCTTGGAGTCTCGACTTGAATGGAGACTGAGGGGTGGTTTGCTTGTCCAAAAACGCACAGAAGGAAGAAAGGTTGGCGGATCCTGGATCACGTGGTGAAGATTCAGATGGTGTGGAAGGGGAAGACGAGTCTGAAAGTGAAAAGAGAAGGGGAGTGTACTCTCTACGAGAGCGTTTACCTATGTCTGCTGGACTAGGAGTAGGTGAACTTCGTGCTCGAGTAGGGGTTTGGTTCGGCAGCGTTGTGTCTCTAGATGGTACAGGTGTAGTGTCCATTTCAGTTGGTAGAGATATGGTTACTCTGTTTTTTTTTCGTTGATTAATTGGTAGAACTTGGTGATTACAGCTTGAGACGTTTCCCATAGGAGCGACGGGCCCAGGACAGGGCATGAGAAACGATGCGATCGACGGCAGGTGATGATAAAGACTTGGTACGAATGGTGGTCAGCTTCTCTTGAAGTGTGGTTTGGTAATGGTCGATCAGGACCTGCGTAACCTTAGAGAGCCATGTCCGATTGAGGGATCTAATATTCGCGTCAAGAGCTGATGTTTTCATTGCTGGACGGATAAAACTATCCAACTCAGAGACTTTGCGTTTGAAGGTAAACGCTGGTTGGCATTGCTGTTGAAGGGTAAGGATTGGCAAATGATGGAGGCACTGCAATACTTGGAGGAACAGCTTCACAAAGGGTTTTTCCTCCTTGTGAGAGGGGACTGGTTGGCGTCCGTGGGCTGGTAGTCGTTTCTGTTGTTGGTCAGGTCGATGGTTACCTTGATTGTTAGGTGTTGTAGGTAGGTCGGCGATGGGGTGGGATATAGCTGGATGGGTTGGTTGGTGGTCGGCGATTGGTAGGTGGTAGAGGTCGATGAAAGACAGGGCCGTTGTAGGGTACGTGATGTTGGTTTGGTTGACGATTAGTGTTTCTATGTCTGGCTTCTTGCCAGTGGTTGTTGTAGTTGGGGAGCATAATAAAAATAACTTGAGGTTTAGAAAGGGAATGTAACAGGAGGAAACTGTATATGCCAGCGTGAAAATGTGGGGATCAAATTATGCAAATAAGTCAAACTGGGTTTGGGGATATATAAAGTAAGATGAAAGTTATGATGAAAAATGCATAAATATATATTTAGGTGATAAATAACGCTAACAATGATGTGAAAAATTATAACAAGTAAAACAAAAACTTACGCAATTGACACAAACAGGACAAAACAGGAAACAAAAATATAGTCGCATTAGAAAAGTATCTCAAGAAAGAAAATAAAAATTGTAATTGAAATTATTTTTCCTATACAGGTAAAAGTTGAATCAATATTCTTCAGACAAAACTTATATCCACATAATAAATTTAACGCTCGTAGAGTTCTTCAGTTTATCAAGGGTACAAAAAGAAACTAAAGAATTAGAAATTAACGACGAAAACAATAAGGCTTATCACTTATATGAAATTAAAACGAGTGGAAAATATATAGATAGGTTTAGAATGTTAATCATACCAGTTAATGAAGAAGATGAACTTTCATTGAGTGAATTTGATATGATATTGGAGATGGAAACTTCACCATCAATGAATATCATTAGAAATCCAGAACCAGAAAAAGAAGTAAGCAGTTATCACTTTTTACGAACGACAGACTTTGAATACGTAAAACTATATTTTGTTAATAAAAGGATTTTTTTTACATAAAGACGGAATTATCTATCCAGATAATTTTTTTTACCTCAATCGATAAAAGTCATGGTAAACAATTTATAATATTTTCATCAATAATTGAACGTAATGATGGGACAGAAGTTGGAGGTATATATACCTGTAGATGTATAATAAGAATCAATATCGAAAAACCAAAATTTTCACTTCATCTGAATAAGATTAATGATTCAAAGGGACAAATATCCTTAGTAACTGTAAAAGATTTTATTATTAAACCTGAAATAATTATAACAGATAATGAAAAAATAAAGAATGCACAACTTATTGGGAAACCTATTGTAGATGTTAAACACTTTCCATCTTTTGCTTTATCAGAAGTTCACTTAATTTAATTACCTAAAAAATAGAACTAGAAAGCAGAAACAATATATGAGAGAAAAATAAATTGAACTACAAGAAAAATTAAAACACTTCAACAAATGCAGAAAAACATGGAGTAGAATTGATTCTGTTTTCAAACAATTAAGCACAGGTCTAACAGTAGGGATAACGGTGGCAACAGTCGTAACCGGTGGATTAATGCTTCCAATAATTGTCCCAACTGTATTAGCCGCGTTCACTGCCGTTCAAACTTCATCTTGCGGATTGATTACTTTAGGTTTTACATCAAAACAGAAATCTCATTACAAAAAGAAAACAGAAATTTTAAATACATATCTTAATAAATTGTTTATATTTTTCGAAAGATCGAGAGAAGATAAGAACATAACTATTGAAGAATTAGAAAAATTCAATGAAATTTTAGATAAGTTTGATGTTGAAATATCAATAAAAGTTAAAAATTCCTAGTTAAAAATAGTTGCTTAAAAAAATATGAATAAACTTGAAATTTTAGACGATGAAACATTCATATTAAATGAACTTTTTTTCAGTATTATTAAGCTTATCTCTAATAAATTTGATACATTAAAAGGACAAATTGAAGTCGATGGAGAGATAATTCAAGATGGAGCACAAAAACAAAACATGCAATTTGTAGGCTTTAATGCCAAAACCTTTCACAATTTCTTCGCTTTTGTGGATGTAATATCGGATGCTTCTGAGTTTTGACAACTGCAAGAATCTGTGAATTCAATAAGAAATTTAATACTTATTTTCAAATTTATATGCCCAAACATAGACATTTTCAACCAAAGAAAGTATCCGAAGAAATAGATTGGGTATTTTACTTACATAAATCACATTTCTCATTAGAAGAAATAACAAAACCTTAGGTATTAAAGAAATAGAAGATAATTACGATGAAAACGTATGGAGAACTTGTGGAGATGATAATGCGGTAACACAAGTTTCACCTCTAAAACTAAATGTTTTTACAACAATTCACGATGATTTTTTAAACGCATGGGTTTGCGAAACCTATAGCGAAAAAGAAACGAATAAAGCCATTCCTTATTCTTGCACGTTAATTAATTTAGAAAAACTAAGAAAAATGTTAGATAGAAAAAACATAACTTTCCAGATTTAAATCTCACTGATAGTGTTCCAGAAGGATTTTATAATAAATTAATGAATATAGTAGAAATATATGTGGGTAAAGATTGCATCGATCAAATGTTGCAACGTTTAGGAAAAATAGATCAAAAAAGAATAACATTAATTTCTCCTAACGGTAGCGGTTTTGATAACTGGATTGTGCTTAAAAATGCGAAAAAACTAACTTTCTTGATACCACAGTATTTAAGGGAGATTCCATAGAAACAAACTGGATATTAAAGTGTATTTTCAAAGAAACTGATACTCATCAACTCTTGCACAAGAGCTCCTTTCACCCAAGACATACCTTTTCTGGTATAATTAAGTCACACGTTTTACGATTTCATCGAATTTGTACAAGATCTTCTGATTTCATCAAGCCTGTACGATTGTTTTCTCAAAACTGAAAGAGCGTGGGTACTCTAAACGATTTTTACGAAACATAAATTTCACCTTAGCACAGATATCAGCTAAAAACAGACTTGAAAGATTGTATCGATCAAATGTGACTAATTCATTCATCGATGAATATTTATAGAAAAAATGGAAAAGACAAAACAAATAATGGTCAACTCTAATTATTTGCACATTTCATATGTTCCTATCAACATGAAAAATCTAGTTTGGCGGCATGGGGAAATTCATCTAATCTACCAATGAATTTGAGAAAGATCACTGATATCAATATTGCAAAATACACCGAAGATAATTGGGAATCTTTAAGACACGAATGGGAACCTTACGCTAAAAGAGATACGTTATGTCTCAGAGCTTGTTTGTTAAATATAACAAAGTTATGAAAGAAGTTGTATTTCAGAATATTTCCAATAATCTAACGGCTCCTTCTTTATCTTTTAAGGGATGGTATTACTTGTACCATTACAATAAAGAAATGGTTGAAGAAGAATGGTATGAAAGTACTAGAATGGTTCCGAAACACACCGAAAAAGAAAACGTAGAAAAAGTTTACTCACATACACACCCTTTTATAAGATATTTTATCAGACAATCCATTAAAGGAGGAAGAGTTTCGGCAAATCGAAAATCATTTGAAACGAATAAAATGGATGAAATTTGTAATGTATTAAAGGAATACACAGAACTCGAGAATAGTAATATAATTGATTTATTTAAAGAATATAGTAAAAGTAAAAAAGATAAAACGGAAGTTAATTCAAAACTTAAAAAAATAAAATGTACTGAACTAATGGCCTTTGATACTAACGGTTTGTACGCTTCCGCCACGTCAGATTTAGACAGCGAATATCCAAAAGCGGAAAGTGCTAGAGAATTTTTACCTGAGGAAGAAGAAGAATTTGTCAAGCTCTTTAATGAGCAGAAATTCAGAACTAGAACGGCTATTTTAAAAGTCTAGTTTAAATATCCTACCAACATGTTCTTCCAACCCATACCAGCTAAAGATAAAATTACTTTTACGAACAAAGAAGGTAATAAGGAAACTGGCACTAAAATCAGGTTCAGAAATGGTTTCTGTTCAGAAGTGTAACATCGGTTGATATTCAAGAAATAGTTAAAGCCGGTGGACGAATTATTAGAATATTAGATGGTATAGTATACGAAGAAAATTTTAAAACTCCACCATATAGAGATTATATTTTAATTTTGAGAGATCTAAGAAATAAATATAAACGAGAGGGTAATATCGTAGGTAGTAATTGCATGAAATTATTAGGTAATTCATTGTATGGTAAATCTATTCAGAAGGATATAACTACATCGAGACATTTACGGATTTAAGCAACTGTAAAAGCCAACTTCGATTCACACGTCAAAAGCTATCCTAAAGTAAATGTATAAGTCCCATCCCTTAAAAGTAAAAGTATATCGTTGAGATAAATGAAGAAGAAAAAGAATTTGACTGTACACGTCCTAAATCTACACGATTAACGCGTCGTCATTTGGGGTCATTCGTATTATCTCTCAGTAAAAAAATAATGAATAATTCTATTCACGTAATAGATGGATTTTATAAGCCGGAAATATACTATACAGATACTGATAGTTTTTACATTTCGTCTAGCAATTGGGATAAATTAAATGAAGCTGGGTTGGTGTCCGAAAATGATTATTGTAAAGGAAAGAATGATTACGGTGATGGTGGAATTATATATGGTTTATATTTAGCGCCAAAATATATATTATTCTAACTTCTGACGGTATTCTAAAACAAAAGAAAAATAGCTGTAGAAGATTATATTCGATTAGCTAGTGGATATGATGTGACGAATGAATTTAAGAAACCATGGGAAAAGATTTTCACCAATGGAGTAGTTATTCCAAAGGATGAAAAGAAAGTTTTTAGAAGTTATCTAAATAGTGTTAAGAGAAAGGCACCGGACAGCGAAGGAATCATGTATCCTTATAGTGATAAAGATGACTTGAATTTGGATGAAAACTACGAATTTGATGATTTCGATTATCTAACTATTCAAGAAGTGTTTAAGTTGATTTTTTGTTAGCACTTCGTCAACTTCATATGCAGACATTCTTATTGCATCTAGAAATTTTGAGTATGCTACTAAATCCTTATAATCGGCAATACCAGCATCCTTCCCATTCATTAAATCTATTAACCCTTTTGTAAATGTTAGTATAAAGTCTTTTGTATCGATTTTGAATTGTAGTGGATATGGACTAAATCTTATTCTAAAACCATTAAACAATAACCCCTCATCATCAATGATTGGTGAAATGCTCTTTGGTAAAACTGGGTCAGGGTTTGAAAAAAGACGATTTATATCATCTAATTATAAAAAAACCCACTATATTCAATCGGTTTGGGGGGATCTTTATGGGTGAAGCTTCTATGGGAGGCGCGAGTCTCTTTTTAATATCTTCTTGACTTTTTAATATTGGTTGAAATAGAGTTTGTAGATTTTCTGTTAATCCAAGTTGTTGTAATTTGTTATTTTCAACTTGGGCCTTTGTTTTATTCTTAGCTTTGATATATTCTCTATTTCTTTTTAAAATATTACTCCAATTATCCATTTTAAAAAAATAAAAGTAACATATGTCGATCATAACCTTTTCACCCACAGATTTGCTAGTATTTACAAATACATATCCATGATCATCTGGGTTTCTACATTGAGCTTTACAAACCTTTTTAAATGTATCTCTATCCATTCCGTGATTTATCGACTGAATGATTTGAGATAAATCTTTATCATTTAATTCAAATAATAAAAAACAATTTGCATTTTTTCTAATGAC